AACACCAAAGCCTGTAGAGCGGTGGTGAGCTCTCACCATGACAATAGCAATCCTTGTCATCACCATCATAAACGAAGCTTGTGGTTAGTGAGTACTTACTAAGTACAAAGCCCTGAGATCAGTTCCTTACATAGGTCACATCACCAGTCCTTTCAACAGCCCTCTGAGGCAAAAGCACATATTGCCTTCAGCTGTCAGATGAAGAAACAGAGGCTCCGAGAGGTTAAGTAATTCGCCCAAGGTCACACAGGCTGTAAGCAGGGAAACCAGGATTCAAAGCCTCTCTCAATCCCTGTGCTTTGAATCTCATTCTCTTGGGCATTCCTCTCTCACCCTGGGTTAGCAACACAACACTAAGCATTCTGGGCCTGGCATGTGAGCTTCCTGAAGGGCAGCCCAGGTCAGCTCATCGTCATCCTGTGTAGAATGGGGAGTTTCACAAGATAACTCATCCTTCTGACAAATCCCCTTTACTCTAGTTGCCTGAGACTCTTTTCATAAAATCCAGATACTTGAGAAATGGAGCCTTCAGCATCCTCTCCCTCCTCTGTTCCCCTTTCACCTGCTCCCTCATGGCATCCAGTTGGCTAGAAACCTCTCTGCTGTTTATTTACCTCTTATAAGCCCTATATCCTCTCAGAAAGCCATTTAGCACTGCACCACTTAATTTTCCTTAAGGCAGAATCTGCCAGATGGAGCCGACGTCCCAAGCTATGTTGATTTGTCTTATTTTTAAACAACAGCAAACATTGCATAAAACTAAAATAGCAGTCGGTTCCCAGGTGTGGACTCACTAGCAGGGGGACAGTCCAGGATGTGTAGATGTGTCCACCTGGGGCAGCTGTCCCAAACAGGCCGGATTAATGAAAGATTGACCTCTGCAGGCAGCTCCTGGCCAGCTGCCGGGTTCACTCCATGCAGGAGCATCAGTCATCACCTCCCCTCACTGAACCCCCTTGGGCTGTGCATTCCTGACTTTTCCACAGACATGGTTCTGACAGTGGAGGAGACAATGTGGACCCTAGAGAATGAAGAGACCAACATAAAGTAGCACAGTGCAAGAAGGAAATATCCCTGATCTGATTTTTTAATCCCTAAAATTCCTAAAAAATGTGCCTCTGATTCCATAACATAACTATGTTTAGTTACTATCCATAAAATTCCTCAAATTTCATACCAGCCAGACTACTAAACTATGTTTCCCCTAAAATTGTTTTTGAAATGAACGCCCCCAAAGTCATATTGATCCCATAGCTGTATTATTCCTAGATGCCCACCAGGGTATTCTGGAAGCATGTGTGCTTGTGTTTGAGAAGCACAACCCTGGGGCTGGGCAATCTCTGTCTTGGGGAAGGCAAACCTACAACAGTGACTGAGAATGTTCCTTCACCGCTGCGTGCTGTCCTAAGGAAGAGAGGATATGTCTAAAGGAAAGACAGGCAATCATTACCAGCACAGCAGTGACCTCCTTGGGATGCAGCAAGTAAATGTAAAGAAGACAGAGGCTAGTGACTTACTGCTTGTGGGTGGCTCCATTGATACTTACATCATGACAGGACTTGGGAGGGCAGTACTCCCGCCCAGCTCACAGAAGTGACAGCCCAGAAAAACACTTATGCCATAAGCTCCTCTCCACAGCACTCCATCTTCCAGCACCTTTATAACCTACATCCTAGAATAAGCAGTACAGTCCTTTATTACAAAGGGGAAAAATGAGATAGAGTGTTCATGGGTAGAGGTGCATTGGCCTTGCCTTTGATATGCTCTGTATGCAGATTCTGGACAACTAGCTTTTGCCAAAACCTTCAAAACCAGTGTGCTCTGGGAGGGTTGGTGATCAGGATATTGCCCAGAATGAAAGTTGTTCTCCCTGATTCCAATGTCAAATACCAGGTAGAATGCTGAGATTATAGCAATCAACTGATAAGCCACTTCCCCAAAGGCATTATCCAGTAGGACATGGTAGCCAAAGGAGGGGAAAAAAGAGGAAGACAAGACAGAATGAGTGATAAATTCTTTGTTCCTTGGGGCAATTTTGCTATAATATTTAAGGATTTTTTAGAGCACTCTAAAAAAAAAGAAAACCAGTGTTTCCTCTATAAGATTCTTTTCTCACAGAGCGCATGGACCATTCTGGGGTCTGTAAGCAGCCTTACACATGGATATTTAACAGGTTTTCCCAGGGCTGCTTTGAAGAAAACATATCATCCCCTGAGTCAGCAGAAAGGCCATGAAGTGTTTGACCGTTACTATGGCACTCTTGGTGAAGGAGTTTCCACCCTAAGTATATAAATAACCAACCAAATTTTTAAATAATCAAATGTATTTCCAAAATGACACAGGGAAACAAGTCTGGGGTGACTGCCCCTATTCTTCATAGAAAATAAAAGTGAGGGTTGGGGGGAGATGGGATGGTTAATGGGTACCGAACAAAACAAAACAAAATAAAATAGTTAGAAAGAATGATTAAAACCTAGTGTGTGATAGCACAACAGGGTGACTGTAGTCAATAATAATTCAATCACATATTTTTAAACACCTAAATGAATATAATTGTATTGTTTTTAACACAAAGGATAAATGCTTGAGGGAATAGATACCCTGTTTTCTATGATGTAATTATTACACATTGCATGACTATATGAAAGTATCTCATGTACCTTGTAAATACATATACCTACTATGTGCACACAAACATTTTAAGGAAAAGAAAAGTGATATGGGTGAGTGGAAGCACAGAATGAGCTGATCAGTTGAGAAAGGTGCTTGGAAACCTGTTATGTGCTTTGGCATGTAAGGTGGAATTATTACTAAAATTCCACAGACACATCACCCCCAAAATCCTCAGAAGTGGTCTCAATAGTCATTTGGTTGACATTTAACCATGTCTGCTGCACTGAGCTCCCAGAGCCACGGAGCACTTCGGCAGAACCCTCTGGTTCTTTCGAGTTACAAAGTTGTTCCCCAATTCTAATGCTGTTCATTTTACAGACCTGGCCTTCCAAATGGAAGCACCTTTATTTCAGGTGGCTGGGGAAGTCTTCTGAGATCTTTTATGACCAGGAAGATTGGATCCTAGGAAGACTTGTCTGAGGTTCTCCAGAGGGCCTCCAGAAAGGAAGGAAGACACGAAAAACCTCTTCCTCCTTAGGGACTTTTCTGAAGTCAAAGGAGAAAACTGCACTTCTAATCACGACCCTTTCTCTGTGGAAGAGTGGACTTGTCATGCCCAGGACAGCTCAGATTCCAGCAGAAACAAACAATAACATACCCAGAGGGGCTCAGCATCAGTGGAGAAGCCCAGCAAAGGAAAGCCTGCCTCTCCAGATCTGGCTGCCTTCAGAGGCACCCAGCTCCAAGCCAGCTGGACTCAGTTAGAAAGGCCACATACGGGATATTAGTTTGGTTTCAAATCCCACATTTAAAGCGGGACATTTCTAAATGCAGACAGATGAGCCCACACCTCCAGAACAGATCTTGAAACTGTGTCACACGAGGAATAATTGAGGGCACCTGGAAAGTTAAATTTGGCTTGGCATGCCCAAAAGTCTTCATGGGACACCTGATGAATGCCTTAAAATATTTAAAGAATGGTGGAAGATGGAATAGACTGTATTACCTGGAAAAGCAGAACGGTTTAAATATTTAGTTAGGCAGAAAGAAGACTTTCTGAAATGAGAGCTCTTTGAAAATAGCACACGGACAAGAGTGGTGTCTCATGCCTGTAATCCCAGCACTTTGGGAGGCCGAGGCAGGAGGATCACCTGAGGTCAGGAGTTTGAGACCAGCCTGACCAATATGGTGAAACGCCATCTTTACTAAAAATACAAAAATTAGCCAGACATGGTGGTAGGTGCCTGTAATCCCAGCTAGTCAGGAGACTGAGGAAGGAGAATCGCTTGACCCAGGGAGGCAGAGGTTGCAGTGAGCCAAGATCATGCCACTGCACTCCAGCCTGGGCAACAGAGCAAGAATCCATCTCAAAAAAATACAAATAAAAAAATAAAGAAAATTAAAATAGGTTGCATTGCCTTGAGAAGTGGGGAGTTCTTAGCTGGAGGTGGGAAGGCTGAGGCTGTGGTACCACCGGCAGGGAGGGAGTATACCCAAGCAGTAAAAACTCAGGGCTTGGGCTGGACCCAGGCTCAGGTTCCAGCTCTGTTTTTGTGAGACTTTGAAAAATTTCTTTTTGACCCCCCAATTACCTCATTTGTGAAATTGGTATAATAATATCTACTCCTGTGGGTCAGTATGCAACTCAATGAAATGTGAATTAGCACGAGCACTTGGCAGGTAAGAAATGCTAGCTTTGTCCTTGTTACTCCTGCTATTATTATCTTGGTTTGATAAATTGGATGAGAAGATAAAATAATTCACTCTGATTTCCTCAGATTTCTTCGACCCTCTAATTCTACAGTTACTGTGAAGTGTCATTCCATCAAAGCTCCTGGTAGCATCTTCCCAGTTCCCTGACTGCCCAGAGTGTTCTGTTTCAGTGTGGCTCTGTGTCTTCCTCCACAGTGGCAGATATCCTCGCCTTTCCTATTACCACTCTCTTTATAATCAAAAACAATCTTTCCCACATCCCAGTTCCTTGAACCCCTGTTTTCTTTGGTAATAACTGGCTATTCTGGTAAATAGTGGATATTAAGAGTAGTGCCACGTTAATATGACAATCTAGTTACCGTCTCCTTAACATTTTTCTCTTGCAAGGAAGCAAGGGCTGAACACAGGACCTGCTCAAGAACTGGCAGTCAAGAAAAATTCTAAATGTTCGTGAGGACAGATCTTTACTAATGAGATTCTGTAGATTAGGTTTGCGTGTTCTAGAGAGATCATGAGGTGGTGATTCAGGAGCAGGGTAGAATACAAGACACTCTCATGACAGGCTGACTTGGGGGATATTCAGCGGCCGGGGTTGGTGGGGGGGCGCCTTCTGTTCTCCCATTAATTTTCTGAGGAAATTTGAAGCTGACTCAGAACTCTTTCTCCCACCAAAGAAAAGAGCAGACCTACGTGCAGAAGCACTGGAAGGATGTCCGCGTGGGAGACTTCATCCAAATGCGATGCAACGAGATTGTCCCAGCAGACATTCTCCTCCTTTTCTCCTCGGACCCCAGCGGGATATGCCATCTGGAAACTGCCAGCTTGGATGGAGAGACGAACCTCAAACAAAGACATGTCGTGAAGGGCTTCTCACAGCAGGTAGGGCTCATTCTAAGATCTTCGATGGTAAAGACAAAGAGAGGAAGCAAGCCTACCCTACTGGAAAATTGAACTAACCCTAGTGGGTAGCGGGGAAAGTAGTGGATGCCTCCTTTCGCTAGCACTTTAGATACACTAAATCTTCCCAGCAGCCCTCTGAGATGGATCTGATCTGCATTTCACAGATGAGGAAACAGAAGCTTAGGAAAGTTAAATAACTTGCCGGAGGCCTCAGAGTTTCTAAATGGAGATCCACTCTGTTCAACTGAGTAAACTATACTCTCGACTCTAAATGAGGGATCTAAAATCTGTTCCATCATCCCCAGGACCAATTCCTCTTCTGTATTCATCCAATCCCAACTCACTCTGCCCAGCTCAGCCCTAGCAATCTCTCCTGGCACGAATCCTAATCCTCCTCTACCCCTCCTAAACTGCAGCAAGATATTATTAACTACGTTTCCATTTGTGTATTCCTGAACTTTTCAACAGTGCTTAAGCCTCCTTGAGGGCAGGGAGAGATCATTGATACTTTTTTTTTTTAAGAGACTGGGTCTCCACTGGGTGCATTGGCTCAAGCCTGTAATTCCAACACTTTGGGAGGCCAAGGCAGGCAGATCACTTGAGGTCAGGAGTTCAAGACCAGCCTGGCCAACATGGTGAAGCCCTGTCTCTACTAAAAATTAAAATATTAGCCGGGTGTGGTGCCAGGCATCTGTAGTACCAGCTACTAGGGAGGCTGAGGCAGTAGAATTGCTTGCACCCAGGAGGCAGAGGGTGTAGTGAGCCAAGAGCGTATCACTGCACTCCAGCCTGGGTGATAAAGTAAGACTCCAACTCAAAAAAAAAAAAAAAAAAGAGAGAGAGAGAGAAACAGGCTCTCTGTCATTCAGACGAGTGCAGTGGCATTGACGCTTTTGTTTAATACCCACCCTTAAATAAATGGTACCTTGGACATCATGAAAAAATCATTATTCTTCGGTGGGTAAAAGCTCAGGCTCTGGGGTCTGACGGAGATGTGTTCCCAGCCCAGGTCCCAGCCCTCTTCAGCTGTCTCACCTTAGGCAAGTTACTAGCCTCTGACACCTTGGCTCCCTCATCTGGAAAATGGGGACAAAGATAGTTCCCTTTCCATAGGGTAGTTTTGGAGACTAACTGGTAGGTACATGACTTACTTAGCAAGAAGACAGGCACATAGTAAAAGACTCGTGAACAGTTGTTATTAATATCAATGCTTTCATAGGGAATATGTGTTGACTGACTGAAGCCGGGTGTGATATTTCAATTTGCAATTGAAATTCTCCTTGTGGGAGTTGATTTCCAATATGGTCCCTTTCTTTAACCAGGGAAAGGAGTACAATTTTATCACTTTTCTTCTTTCTGCCAGCCTTTAGCTGGGGAGAAATTGAATGAGTCAGAGGATTTGAGAGAAAGAAGGCAAATGACTTATTCCTCAGAAATTCTCATAAGCTAGAGCTCAGTTTTCTGGATTCAAACTTCTCAAAATAAGTTTGTAAGTTCTAGGAGCAAGGGTCATTGTACCTTGCTTTGCCTCTCTCCAAGCACCTGATAAACAGTTCTCATAAAACCCTTTTTGTGTGATTGAATTGGTCCTCAGAAGCCTGTTCTCTCATGCATATCATGGGAATAAGAATAGCTATCCCATGGTTTTGCTGTGAAATTCAAATGGTATGAGGAAAGTAAAGAACAAAATAAAGAGCTTGCAATCCAAGAGATTCACAGTAAATGGGAACCATTGCTGCTACTGAGGCTGTAGTCGCCACCACTGGAAATGGAAACCACCACCACCCACTGAGACCAGCAAGCCCACTGATCTCCAGGCTCCAAGTTCCCTGAGCAAGGGCCCTGTCTCCGAGTTTTCTCACCCATTGCTTGTTACCGCCACATTTGCTGAATCACCCTAGTGTTTGCAAAAAGGCGGAGTGAGATCTGGTCGAAGTTCACCACATCGTTCTAGACAAGCAATAACAATCTGTTTCTGGGCTCAGAGCTCTGTCGCCTGCCCTTTTGTCCAGAGGCTTTCAAATCTCTTTAGCAGTAACAATAAGAAATGCATGAAATATTACACACAGACACACACACTCACACACATGCACGTGTGTATACGCACGTGGGTATGTAAGAATGACAACTTAGCCTTACCACACGCAAGGCATTCTGAGATGTTTCTATGCTATTCTACCTTTCTGTTTTTCTCGAGAACAGGGTCCTGCTCTGTCACCCAAGCTGGAGTGCAGTGGCACAATCTCGGCTCAGTGCAACCTATGCCTCCCGGGTTCAAGCGATTCTCCTGCCTCCGCCTCCCAAGTGGCTGGGACTACAGGCACGCACTACCATGCCCAGCTAATTTTTTGTATTTTTTTAGTAGAGTCAGGGTTTTTGCCATGTTGGCCAGGCTGGTCTTGAACCCCCCCGACCTCAAGTGATCCGCCCACCTTGGCCTCCCAAAGTGCTAGGATTACAGGCAGGAGCCACGACGCCCGGCCTTTAACCTTTCTTTTTTTAAGTTCTAGAAGCAGTGAAATCTATAAATCACCCCTTTAGCCTCCCTCCCCCAACAATTCTGAATCTTTCTTAGTCTCTCTTGGGCAGTCATTTCAGTGTTGTTTCATTTCAACCAGTGACTTTTCTTTTTGTCTTTGGCAGCTGTTCCCAAGCTGTTTTTTTGCATATTAATTAGTCAGATAGTTTGGGATTTAGCTGGAATGAGGAGTCAGGCAAAAGGGCCATTCACGCTCCAGTGCTATAGACCAACCAATTTAATAAGTCTCTCCAACCCTAACCCTCAGTTCTCACAGAGCACTTGATGAGATGATTTACCAAAACAAAAACAAAAGAGAGAAAGAGAGAGGTAAATTCCTATGCGAAAGGAAGGAGATTATTTGAGCTTCAAGGTTTCCAGAGCTCTCTATTCTGTCTCAGTTCCTGATTCTCCCCCTTCCTTTGCTCAAACATGCTTTTTTCATTTTAGTAATAATAATAGACTTTTATTGATTCCAAACTAAGGGCTTTGCATGATTATGCCGTTTATCCTCAAAACAACCCGATGAGATAGGCACTATTATATTATTGTCTCCATTTTATACATAAGGAATCTGGTACATACAGAGGCCCTGTAACTTGCCCAAGGTCACTGAGCAGGGAAGCGTTGGAGCAGGATTCAAAGCCAGGTTCGTCCAGAGCCTCAGTTTTTAAGGCTCAGTAGCTCATCTCCCTGGCCCTTTCATTGTTACCTTGAGTTCACTCAGCAATGCTTACTTGAAAGTACACATTGATTGTTGCCAAGATTCTTTCCACATACAGATAGCAAGTGTCAGGGATAATGAAAATGGGCTCAGCCTGCTCCCTGGGGGGAGACATCTTAGCTGCCCCTTTCGACCTTGCTTCTCCCTTATACTTTTAAGGCAGAAAGATTTCTGAATATGGATAGAACTTGCTTCTGGCTAACTCTATACCATAGGATTTCCCTAATGTATCGAACAAACAAACATATTGATGAAAATTGCAAGAAAGGTAAATGTTGCAAGGCCAAGTAATATCAGAAGGCAATAGGTTACAAGCTTTCAAGTATTGTGTTCTGCAGAACTTCTCTGATACTTTAATAAGCCCAAGGAGAAGGACAGGTGCTATTAAGTAGCGTTTCTAAACATTTAAGCACAAGAAACTTTTATCCCAAGAAAGGTATCTCAGAGCTATTACAGGAGGGATGGAATATAACTAAGGGATTTGCTTCAAGTTCATTACAGGTGTTGAGGGTATATCATAATCATCACAGGGAAGTTTTAAAAATATACACGCATCCTTCTGTATCACCACCAGCAAATTATGATTCATTAAGATTGAGTAGGGCCTTGAGTGTGCATATTTTAAAAAATTTTCTCCCAGATGATCTTGAATAAACCTGTCACCACCTCTTTGAAAACCTGTACAACAAAGGAAAGGCGCCACCTTCAGTGCTTCCAAAAAAAAAAAACGCTTATCCTAAAAATGGGAACAAAACTACCATCTATGTTCTTCTTACTATATACCAGTTCTTTTACATGCATTGCCTATTTTAGGCCTTAGACCACCGCGGGAAGTAGGCATTACTATCTCCATTTTACACATGAAAACTCTGAGGCACAGAAGGAGCAAATCACACTAATCATCTCAGAGATTTTGAACACCTACAAACATGCTTTGTTTGGAAATTTAATGTCTTACGTAATAAGCATTAATGGCTTTTGGTAGTTTATTCTCTCTCTGAATCCCTACTGTCTTTAAGACCCTCACCTTGCCAAAGGGGTTTTTTACTAACCACTGAGATTACTAGAAACATCTCACCCCACACATAGACACACTCTTTTTACCATCTTCTAGATGATGAGAATTACTACATTCTGGTAATTCAAAATCAATAAGAAATACTCTGTCCCAGCTCCCATAGAGCAGCATTTCTCAGAATCTGCTAAGCACTTATCCCAAGAGAGAGTTCATGAACAACCCATGGTCTGTGGTCAAGTCAGATTAAGAAGCTTGTGTCCTGTGTACTCCCCTTGTAGGTTCCAACGTTCATTACCATGTGAACATCTCTGAGAAAGCCTGGAGTCAACAGACCTGTTAAACTTTCTTTAGCCCTGAGCTCTCCAAATGTATTTAACCTAAGAATCGTTTTTCAGAACAAATATTATTAACATTCCTATGGAACTTTTCAGAAAATATTAGCCTGAATTGTGGTACGGATACAGTCACAACAGGTGAAGAGTAACAGAGAAGTTGACAATCCTCATGGCTTATACAGTCCATTCTTCCCTTTCCTGTTTAGGTTCAAATGAAATTATAAACGTTAAAGAACTTCTTAAAGAGTCTTTCTCCCATGACACTGCAGATTGTCTTCAAGGTTGCCAAAGAGTTTGTTTCAAATCCTTTTCTCAGAATTCTTCTTGTACTAAATCAACTTTTTTTTTTTCAATTGGAACTTTTATTCCAAGGGGCTGTCTTTG